GTTTAGGGTTTAGGGTGTAGGGTGCCTACAAGCCTCAAGCCATGAGCATATTTTGTGATCCCCAGGCGGAGATGGAGAAGCACGGCATTCGAAAGATTGATCTTGTGGTGGTCAACCTGCCACTTGGGCTTCTTCCAGAGTCTTCGGGGCGTCGGGGTTCGCTCTCAAGGCTTCAGGGTTCAGTTCACTGTGCAGGGCTTTGTCGTTCGGAGATCGAACCAGAAGCCCGTTGAAAAGCCGGCAGTCTTGACAACATTGAAAAGGCTTACTCTTCTTCCCATGAAGACATGTTCCTCGCCGAAACCCACTCAGATGTCATAGCCACTCCTCGCTCCCCGATCTCATGACGGAACCATGTGCTGAGTCTCCGATCTGCGGCGTCAATTTTATCTGGCTTCAATTGTGGGCAGAAGATTTCTGCAGCTTCGGTTTGAGTGATCCATCTCAGCACGGTCTTGTTCTTGGTGGTCCTTACCTGTTGTTTCCTACTTCCAAAGCTTACAGGGAGCGAAGGCTCTCGATCTCATTGTAGACACCCTTTGCCTTGCTCAGCTCATCACGGAAAAGAAGACTGCTACCTCCAGGATGGGAGAAGTAGGTCGGTACCTGTAGCGAGAGAAAATCGAAACACGAGCAATGACGCGATATTATTGTCGTACTTCATAGCCCCCCTCGCAAGAAAGAGCATTCAGCAAGTCGAAAGGTACCCATTCCAGGAGGCTGTTGCCAAAGGCGGGGCCCTGATTTGCTGGAAGGCTTCCTGCGATTTCAGCTTCTGCAGGCACCTGTGAAGGACAGGCCGAGCAATGGCAACTTTCACGAGGATGCAGAAGGGGAGCTTTCATAGAAGTCATAGCAGCGATGCAAATAAGAGCGCTAGGAAGATGATCCTGGTGGTTGTCATAGCTCCAAATGTTAGCAGATAGAAAAGTTGGTCGGAGCTTAGGCTCTTAGAGTTTAGGGATTGGGTTTGTGTACAGGTGGAGATTTCGCCACCTGCATCGAGAACATCGACATCGGCGGCCCGGTCCCTGCGGCTGCAGATAAGCCAACTCCTGTGTGTTTGGTAATATGGGGGGTTTCCGAAAATAGGGGACCCTAATATAGTGCCCTAAATAGTAGGATCCATATTTTAAGGACCCCAAATAATAAAATACCCGTCATTTTCGGAAACTCCCAAAAAGGGGCCTCAATAACTACCTATACTACTTTGGGGGTTCCTTATTATAGTTGTAGTATAATAACCCCCCAGACCCTGTTCTAATTATTCAGGCCCCTACAGTAGGGTCTCGTAGGAGTGGTTTGATTTGTGTTTTGGGGTTTACGGGATTTTAGATGTAGCCTTGCGGATTGGGGCAAGGTGCAGCTCACCTGTTTAGTACGCCCTCCCGGGATAGGCCTGACGAATAGGGACGTTAGTTGATTCATTTAGGTTTCTATATGCAGACCATATTCTTAAGACCACCAGCCACTACAGTCCCGAACCCAGCCCAAGTCCCTGAGTGCTCACCTGGAATGCGCTCAACCTGCAACCTGCCCTGAAACCTCAAACCCCTGTTACATCCTGACAGACCCCTTGTCAATTGCAATGTAGCGGCTAAATAATTACCAATACTATTTTTGGGGTTCCTGATTATGATTATGGTATAATGGGGCCCAAAACCCTAGTCTAATGCTGAAGGGCCTTATACCCTAAACCCTAAACCCTAAACCCTAAACCAAAACCCTAAACCCTAAACCCTAAACCAGGACCTTTATGGAAAATCCTTGTAGAACACCAAAAAGGCGATGATCCGAGCCTCGGCGAAGAACAACGCTGCTGTGACCATCCTCACCAGCCCCAGCCAGTGCCCCCTACAGTAGGACTTCGGGGGCAATTTAGGGTTTACCTGGAGCGCCAAAGTGTACTTAAATTAAGAGCAACTTTGGCCAGTGTCAGGAATTCACAGCAACTTTTGAAAAGTGCCAAGAAAAAAGATACACTTGACGCGCGCAAGCCAAAATGTATGTCAGTGCCCATTTCTTAAAGTGCCGTGAATATGCGTGAAAGTGCCGTGAACAAGCGTGACAGTGCCGTGAATATGCGTGACGTATTCCAGGAGCGGTGTCGAGCTTTGTCGTGACTTTTGAGAGAATTGTCAACTTTCATCCAGTTGCCGAGTTTTATCGACAACCTGGCCCTCCAGGTAGGGTTTTAGGATTTAGGGTTCAGGGCTTAGGGCTATTATGGCTATTATCATTACGCCGGACATCGGATTTTGAGGGTTTGGGGCGCAGGCTTCGGGTTTGAGGGTTCAGGTTTTCAGGGCAAAGAGGCTTAGAGCTGAAGGTTCAGGATGTAGGGTTCAGGGTTTGGGGCTAAGGGCACTCATAAGTCACGGGGACCATCCTATGTGGCCCCGAGGAGTATCTTCATGGAAATATGAGAAAAGGGCAGATAAAACCAAACTTCTTGCTGTGGCCACCAAGCGCCTCCAAAGTTCGACAACTCGGCCCGTAGTTGACTTCAGCTTGTCTTTTTGCGGGACGAAATTCTCTGCTTCCCCATGCTAGACCCTGTCAGGGTTTCGAAGCTGTAGCATTTTGTGATTCGAGGTCCAGGCATCGGACGGGACCCAAGTGCATGACAGGTACGGCACCTTCATGCAGCAAGTCTCCGACAACGCTGGCTGCACAACTTTCGTGTTTCGGATGAGATCTTATCGCCTTGTGTTGCCAGCATCTGGTGCGCCAGACAATACTCGACTTTGGTACGTCCTTAGTCCTTAGGGTACATAGAGGCTCTTAGGGCATCCGGTGTCTGTTTCCCAAAGTTGAAACACACAACCTCCGAAGAAATGCATCATCACGAACACATCTGCGCAGTGCGAAAGGGTGGATCTTGTCCCATACCGATGGCCCTGGCAGCTGCGTGCCATTCCTGTAGTCACGATGAGGAGCCGAAGCAGAACGCCTCGCCAGTCCATAAACCCATCAACATCTTTAGCAGTGGCTCTGGAGGTTATGCCCCTATAGCTTGACAAGCATGCGCAATTTATAAACCATCAGTGCTCAGCTGCCACTAGCTGGACACTACCACTTAGGTGTCTTGCACACAGCTGGAGTCGAGAGCTGGAGGTGTAGATGTTGCATCGCATGGTGGCCGAGTTTTGTGATGAGTCCCTTGATCAGTAGTTCATAGGCACCCTCAACCTCCAAACAGACTTTTCGGTGCCACAGAGCAGCATGGCTCAGAGCTGTTGGGGTGTCTGCACGTGCAATGCCAAGGCTTTCCGCAAGAACATGGCCGCAGCCGCTTATGCGCTCACCTCGTCCTACGACTCGGCCGTGAGCGCCTGGATGGCTGGCGAGGCGCAGTTTTCTTTGGGCGGTTTTCCAGTGAAGGCCTTGTTTGCTTACGGGGTTGATATGTGGTAACAGCTGGTAACATAGCCTTCAATTCCTAACACTGCCAGCACGGTGTAAGTGTGTCAGAACCAGTGCTGTCGCAGCGTCCTGTGTCAACTGCATCGAGGCGAAAGTCTTGTTGTCACTGCACGGTCGCTCGTGTGGACATTAATTCACCAGTCTGTGAGAACTTGAGTTCAGACAAGACCAAGCGTCCAGGGCTTCGGGTATAAGGACTTTGACATTTAGAGAACCACCACTTGGCAGAGCTATCAGGTGTTACGGATGTTCCTCGGGTCCTTGGGAAGAGAACGGGGCTCGACCTAGATGTAGGTGTTTTGAGGAGGTTTCAGGAGCAACACTCAGAACTAAAGTACCCGGCTCGGCTTTTGAGACTCGGACGGATGGGATAATGAATCTAGCACCTGAGCTGTCCGACCTGTGGGAAGGTGACTGAGCCGCCCGCGAAGAAGACCCTCACCTTTGACCTGCAGATGCCGCTGAAGTGCCCCAGTCATGCAGATCTGCAGATGAAGCAGAGCACCAAAGCTTTAGTTTGTTGCGGCCGTAACAGTTTACGACGTAAGCCCTGAGACCCAGATGCGCGAAACCCTCGAAGCCCCCGACGAATGGTCCCTTTCCGAAGCCCAACGGAAGCATTGTTATAGAATCCTTAGAGGTGCCCTAAAAACACATACCCTTAAAGGAATCCTTAATTGCAAAGCAACCCTTGGAGGTTCCCAAAGTCGCCTAGACCCATACAGGAACCCTTAAAAGCAAGCCTTACAGGAATCCTTATAGAACCCTTTCGGGACCCTTATAGAACCCTTCACTGGAACCCCTAAAGGTATGGCTGCAACCCCCATCAGCTGCCTGCCGGCCTTTGCGCCGTGGCTGGTGGCAAGCTGCCCTTCGAGGCCCGAGCAGCAACTAGGAATGTAGGTGGTTTCTGGGCTTAGGGTTTCAGGTTAAGGCATCGTCCAACATAGATATGTTTCCGAACGAACTTCGCTCACAGCTTCACAGCGAAAACCAAGAACAAGCGTTTCTGATTGTAAGGCCACCGCTCTGGATTCTGCGTGCAGTTGGGGGCTGCGGATTCTTGTTTGTTCGGTGGTTGTTGGGCGCGCGTTTGGGTTTACGGTTCTACTGCAGAATTTAGGATTTTCGTTTTAGAATGGGGTTTAGGAATTCGCAAAAGGCAGCCTTCGTCATCGCTTCGACCACCGACTCGCCAGCTTAAGCACCTTCAACTCCATAGTAAGTAAGTATAGTGAGAGCCCCGAGGAAGAGTATGAGTGATTAGTTAGGCCCTTACATCAGGGTTGAACGTTCAGGGTTGCTAGTCTGCTAGCGCTACGAAACTGGCCTGTCTGACTCTTGTCTTTTTGTTCGCTGTGGATAGTATTACAGTACTGCTCGGAAAGTAGGGTTGCTGTCGACAACGGATTGTGCTGCAGTTCCGATCTTCTTTCGAGGAGAGGGTTTGGGGCCTTGCGTAGAACTCCCGAGCTCTAGCAGACGCAGTTTGGGATTGGGGTGCGGGTTGCAAGGACGGTAATAAGGCGGTAATGTAAGGTACAGTTCAGGATGCTCAGCTGAAGCTGAAAGCTCGTGCAATCAACCAACATCTCAACAATCGCGGACCCGAGAACTCGTTTGCTGGAGGACCTGTTCAGCTACCCTCGGTGGAATGACCTTACTTGCTATCGAGTCGGTACTCAAAAGGAACCCTGGAAGAACCCCTGGAGGAACTTTAAAAGAAACCCCCAACGATGACTCCAAGGAACCTGGCGGTTTGTGACCGGCCCTGCATGCAGGTGCTGAATGGCACGCCGGGCTACATCAACCTCCTGGATGCTCGAACTACCAGTATATATAATATAATAAAGTAAAATATAATATAATATAGTATAATATGATATAGTATAATATAATTTAGTTTAATATAATATAATATAATATAATATAAAATAAAATATAATATAATATAATATAATATAATATAAAATATAATATAATATAATATAATATAATATAATATAATATAATATAATGTTATATAATATAATGTTATATATATATATACATATATATATATATATATATATATATCAATGGAATATGCATTTTACCAGGCTGCCCTCAGCTTGACTATGCTAGACTAACCTAGTCTAGCCTAATCTAATCTCATCGAACCTAATCTTATCTAACCTGCCCTAACCTAGTCTGACCTAAATTAGCCTAATCTAATCTAATCTAATCTAATCTAATCTAATCTAATCTAATCTAATCTAATCTAATCTAATCTAATCTAATCTAATCTAACCTAGTCTACTCTGTAATGTTACAACACTGTACCTGAAGCCTGAAGTCCCGAAGTGAGCCCTGAACCCTGCAACCCTAAGTCTCTGACCCGCTCACTATCCGGCCAGATGCTTCCAGCATGTTTCGAGGCTGCAAGCCCTGGAAAGCCTTTGAACCCTTCTTTTGGGGGGCCCGTCTTCTCCCTTCAAGGACGCCATCAATGCCTGGCAGCTGGTTCATGAGCTTGGCCAGGCCTCCTCAAGTATGGGGAATCTGTGGGGGACTTGGGGTTTCGGGCTTAGGAGTTGTAAACTGTGGGGTTCAGGGGTTGGGAGTGTAGGATTCGTAAATTTGGGGTTTAGGGTTTAGGGGTTTTAGGGTTTAGGGTTTGGGGATGCGGGAACAAGGTCTGGGGCCAGGGTCCGGGTCACCAGCTTCAGTATTCAGGATCTTGCTCAAGGGACCCGGGGATTGCAGGATCAAGGTATTGGGCTCAGGATTTTAGAGTTTAGGGTTTTCAAAAGCTCCTGTAAGACGCTTACACCTTCCCTGAGCAGGCAACTGGCCTGCCAGCAGCCGCTTCCTTCAAGCACGTCAGCCCGGCTGGTGCTGCCATCGGCCTCCCCTTGAGCGATGAGGAGCCTGGGGCTTTGGGCTGAGGGTGGAAGCTTCTCAGCCGGCCCGCTTCCATTTCGGCGGATGTTGTTGGAGTTTGTAGGGCGCAAACAGTGTGTTTTATGAAAGTCGATTTTGTTCTTGCTTTTATGGAGTTCACAAGGGTATTTATCAAGAAAAAAGATCCGCGTGTGTATGGGGGGCCTGGTGGAGAGCAATGCAGCAGAAGCCAGCAAAAATCGGAACATCACTATCCCCTAGCGCTGCAGACTGGAAAAGTTAGAATAAGCAACAAGTTGATTTCTCTATGTTCCAATGCTGCCATTTTTAGGGGGATTGGCAAGGTCAAGCTTACCGAGAATACTCGTCGTGTAGTGACAACAGGAACATGGGCAGACGTAATTGCTCTCAAGTTATGAGATCGTCGCTCAGGCAGTACCGCCGCCGGGTCTGACCTGAGAAGCCCCACAGTTACAATCCAACAACATAGCCAACCTCGCGCTGGGGAGACGGAGGGTCCGTCTACCACCCTCGAGAAGTTGGCGTGTTCAGGGTCGTCATGATTGCAGGGATAGGTAAAGAGCCCTCCCATTGTCCACGAGGAGAGGCTGGTCTATGAGGTCAAGGACAAGGAGCTCACAGATGTTGCAGCAGCCTACGTGCGCGCGAGGACCGAAGCTGACAGACGGGTAGAACAGCCTTGTTGAAACGCTTTCCAGCAGAAGCGCAGGCTGATTGTGCCAGGCTACATATTGTCTTTGGATCTTTGCAGAGCTTGGCTGTGGCTCAGGAGAATAGTATTTGTCGCAAAGGCTGCGTTGGTATGGATCCTAGCATGAGGTTGTCGCGATTGAAAGCTATCTCTGGTGGCAGCATTCGCGGCAATATACAGCATCGGCATTCCGATGATTGTGCTGGTTGCTGTGGTTTCTATCATTCCGATGGTTGCCACTATTCATGTGTTTTGCATGGCAGACTTGATTGTTGACAGGACCCTAAGCTGTGGAGTCCTGACTGGAAGCCCAGAAGCACGGCGTAAGGCGAAGGTTTGGGGTGTAGGGTCGTATCACCCCAAAGTATCCGACAGACTCAATCGAATTTGGTTGACAGTCCCTTCACCAATGCAGATGAATACTGCGCGGATCCAACTATGAGAAAGCTAGGGCCAATCCTGAGCCATTTGCCCTGCCATACATTGCCGTACTAGACACCAGACCTTAAGAGTTAAGCACATCCTGGACCTAGTCCCACTGAACCTAACCCCAAACTTCAGGCCCAAACACCCAAGACCCAAACAATCGGACACCCCCAAAACCATACACCTTTGAGCCCGGCAATTGCTTTGGAGGAATGCTGACCCGATGTGCTCCTTTGGCGATTTCGTTGCCATCTCCCACGAGGTCTGTCAAGGTTTTAGGGTTCAGTTTTGCTTTTCAGAGACGGTATGTTATGCACGGCGGTCTGAACAACTAGTCATAATAGCATGCCTTTATACCAGAATCTATATCATCCCTACCCCAATCGTTCACGCACGTGATTGTGGCGCAGCGAGAGCCCCAGTCTGTGCTACATCCTGTCATCTACAGCGCAAGTATGTCTTGTAGCACTACATTTGTGATTTATCATACTTTTTATGGTTGTCTTGCAGTGGATAAGAAGACACTGCAGTAGACCAAGATTGTATATTATTTTCCACGCACACGCGTTCAAGCGAAACCCATGCTCCGGTGCAGTGCTTCCACCTTGTGGCCTGCTTCCAGGTGGACGTGGCCACTGCAATGATTTTGAAGATCGAGGTGCGCCGCATGTCAGTGTAGCGATGTCATGCAGGAAGGTCGGTAGCGGCAAGGGCGAACTCTGCTTTCGAGGGGCGCATCTACGCCGGTCACATGAAACCCTTTTCGGCCGTATGACTAACTTTTCATGCATATGTACTACCCAGTAACATCAAGCTTTTTTCCTGAACCACCGAGGCTTTAAACGACTGGGTTATACTAACAACTTGCTGTAGGTCCATGTAATCACTGTAATCATGACGACACCTGCTACCTAGTACTGTAGCGTTTCTTGTTGTTGACCAGAACCCCATACCGCCGTGCACCTTATTCCCCGAACCTGTGAATGTATTCACCGAGTGGTATCATTTCGCTCGTGCTTGGTAGAGCATCAGAGATGTGGTCCGCATCCTGCACGGTGCCTCGTCAAGTCCCAAGCCCGAAATTGCTACAACCTTCCGACACCAAGGCCTTAGACCTTGAACTGCACCTAAGTTCGGAGAAAACGATTGGGAACATGTAGGTCCGAGGCGCTACTTTTTTGGACCGCGCAGCTCCAAACAGCTCACGCCGTCCCACAAGAACCCTGAACTCCAGCAATGATCTCAGGAATAGCCAGTGGACGATTATCGAAGTCAGGGTTTAGAGTTCCGGAAGCGCAGCAGTCGTTGGGGCATCCTTTTCAACAGCTCCCAGATCTCCTGATCTCGAGAGTTAAACTAGTGACTAGCTAGGGACATCTTTTTGTCCTCGTTGCTGTGGCGGCAAAATGATTTATTATCAGTATCCATCGGCGCTGTTGGCGCCATGTCGAAAGCATCATGACACGTGCTGTTCCCTGATAGCCCCCAAACCCTCTTCTAGTTATAAAATAAAGGCCCCCCCCCGTCTGAAAGAGGTCAGCGATGGTATCATCGCTCCGTCCTTCGTCCCTGAGGCAAGTTGCTTCCGGATAAAGAGCATTTAGGGTTTAGGCCTCAGGGTAGGGGCTGACGGCAGTCAAGGAAACACCTGTTATGAAAACAGCAGCGGCAGATATCGGGCTCAGGGCTTAAGGTTCAGAGTTCAGGGCATCCTTCATCATGTGTGCGTGTTATTCTCCCCTATTTGAGTATTGGGGGTATGTTTGGTGTGCTACAGCTGTACGTGGAGTATGACTATGATGGCGCACTTCCACAAAGCCCTGAACTCTTGAGATCCAATGAAGCATGCTTCGGGTTTGGGCCAAGCCCTGCGCCGTTTGATGACAGGTCTCCGAGTAGTAGGAGGTTCATGATTCTAATTTTTCTTCGCCTCTAGAACCATTCCCAGTCTTCTTCACTAGTAGCTAGTAGGCGTAAGTGGCAAGTGCGGAGTGCTCCATCCTTCCATCCATCCATCCATCCAATCCAATCCAATCCAATCCAATCCAATCCAATCCAATCCAATCCAATCCAATCTAATCTAATCTAATCTAATCTAATCTAATCTAATCTAATCTAATCTAATCTAGTCTAATCTATTAATCTATCCAGCTATCTACCTATCTCCCCTGCCACCTGGGTATCGAAGAATAAGCGAAGATACATGTGTACATCGATATATGTATAATAATAATAATAACAAGAAGAAGAAGAATAATAATATACGTACACCTTTGTACACAGGTATGTCTAGGCCGCGCCTTTGTGTACGAGTTTTGCCAGTGAGGCGTTGGAGACCCTCAAGGCGAAGAAGGGTGGCAAGTTCATTGCGCCTCGGCAGGGCCTTGGGTTCTAGGAGCTTGCAGGAGAGGTTAGCGTTTAGGTGTCTAGAGAAGCTAGACTTCAGACGAAAAGTCCCGGTTTACCGGATAGAACAAGCTCTTTTTGGTTGGATGGGGGTCTCGGGTATTACCTCTGACGACATCGTCTTTGCGTGCGAAACGCCATCCCCAAGAACTCTATGCGCAGGGCGTCACCAATAATCCTGCAGCCTTACGCCCGAAAGCCCTAAACTCCAAAGCACAAGCCCTAGAGCCTCGATCCATCATCGCACACTCCGCAACCCCAAGCTTCCGTCGAGGCAGAACCTGAGAGCCCCACCCCTTCTGATAAAATCTGAAGCTCCTACAAACCCTGCATTCCCAGATCCTGAAGCCCTAGGCTCCGGAATCTAACCCTCAAAACCTCACCCGGCCACCAACTCAAAGCCTAAAGCCTCGTTCGAGCGAGCAGAAGACTCGAGGTCTTGAAGGCTGATGCAGGCTTCAAGTACAGCGATCTCGAGTATCGACGCTTGGTCCTGCCAAGTTTAGAATAAAAAGGATGTTGGAGTTGAAGCCTTGATGTTTGAAAGTTCGGCATTGAGAGTTTGTGGTGAGGTTCGGGTTCCGGATGCGGCACGTTCAGGGCTTGATCGAGGAGGCCCTCACAGCTTGTTTAAGTTTGTTCGGCAGCTTGTGGATGTCGGTGGAGTTTACACTTCAGCGGTGTATAATTGAAACCTCAGAAGCTTAACTCATTTTTCTTTGCAGGCACGCGGAGTATCGGATGTGTTTTGAAGGTTCGAGGTTGCAGCATCTGTAACCTTCTGATCTGTCTTGAATTTGCGACGGGAGGGGCCTCCGAGTAGGCCTTCTGTTCCCGCTCGAATCTCTTCTGCCACAACTCCAGAGACGATCCGCCAGATCAGTGACCCAGGGCCCTAAACCACGCCTACGGGGTGCTGTGCTCACGCACATCTCTGAAGACGAGAGATTCCAGAGACTCCAATATCCCTTAATTAAGGAATATTCCTTAAATTATTGTAGGATCCTTAATTAATATGATTTAAGGAATATTCCTTGATTAAGGGATATTGGAGTCTCTGGGAAGAGACCCCCAGCTCAGGAATGGTCGGGGGCGTGGGCTTCATGCAGAAGCGCAACGACGCCATCTTCGATGCTTCGAAACTCGCGGAGGCCGAAGAAAGGAGATCGAAGAACGTTTCTTTTGTGTGTGTGTGTGCATGCAAGTAGATTCAGTGTCAGAACCAGTTTCTTATTTCTGTCAACACCTCTGTACTAGATATGGCCTGTTATGTTGGCCAGCGACTAGTGTGTATTATGTACATGCAGGCGTACATGGAGATTCTGGCAGATTCAGGTGCATGTGGATGTCCCGGCATGTCTACACGCACGTATGGCATTCGGATTGACATGGGCCTTTGTTGTAGACCATAGAGGCCAGGAGATCTCTTTACTCCGTTCTTGTGGAATCACAAGAAAGTCTACAGAATTTAAGGACTATTCCGTGAGAGCCCTAAGCTTTGCCCTGAACGGTAACCTCTAAACTCTAGAGTTCCTTAAACCTGAACAACCCTACAGCCCTAACCCTAAACCATGAGCCTAGTCCCCCAAACCCGATCTGGGGATCTAGAGATTTCCGGGAAGGTTGTCACCGCCAGCAAGACCATCCCGGACAAGGCCCGGCCTGCAAAACGAGACAAGTCCTTCGAGCTGACAGACTGTTTAGAATGTGTAGGGTTCTAGGTCTGAAATTCATATGGTAGAGGATAGTACAGAATTATAGTATGTGCTATGATTTCATGTGACCCGTCATCATAGGCTCCATTGTAATGCAGTGAATCTCGCCTATCCGGTTGGATTCGAGCCGGTGCCTCCAGGCCTACCGCGAAGAACGAGTCTTTTTCCGAGAGTTTGCTGCAGCTGAGGCGCAGAAGGACCTCATCTTGGCTTCCATCGCCATCAAGTGACCTGTTCGAACAGCATGTTGTTGAAGAATGGGGATAGGTTATATTGTCATCATATCGGGACAATAACGGGAAGGGAATACTGTCGCTTGTTCTTGTTGAATTTAAGCTGAGCCTCTTGCAGCCCTGCTTCTGGTCGTGTTGTCTCCGTGCAAATGCTGAACAGAGCAGTGATCGAATGCCGCCAATGCTTAAATATAAAATCTTTTCTGTTGTGCCACCTGCATCACAACCATAAAGGAGCTACCTGCGGTGAAAAGCATTTTTTCTGTGGGTTTAGGGTGATTTGGTACTTAAACTTTACTTATTAGCGGTTGTAGAAAGGTACACCCAGTCCAACTCGGTCGGCTACAGCAAGAATGGCATGATGGTCGGCGTCGGTGCAGGCTTGCAGGGCTCCTTTCCGGCGATCCGCAACAGACAGGCGTTTTCCCCAAGAGGTATTCGGAGGCAGATGAGCTTCATTGTTGAAGTTGTGGCACACACAACCCTAAACCCTCACCCCTATGATCGTGCAGAGTTGGAAGGCCAGCAAAGCCGCGTCGACTGCGTGAAGCTGGCGGGTCGCAAGGCCAGATCCAACCTCGTGTGCTATGCATGTATAGACATGCATATCTGTGCAGATCCGTGCATGTATATATATACACATACATGTAGAGTGATTGAGTGAGTGAGTGAGTGAGAGAGAGAGAGAGAGAGAGTCAGCGCTGTGTCTTTGCCCCACACCAAGACATTGAGCAGGGACGGACAAACACGTACAGTTTTCGTGCCAGGAACCAGTTGAGTACTAAGGTCTACTTATGATAACCCATTCCTTGCTCGGGCTTTGCATCATGTTTGACTGTTGGGGCACGCAGCCAGCATCCTCGGGGGATGATCCTCCTTGCACCGCCTCCCCCTGCCCTCGACAGAGGAAAGTCCTGACTGTCAAAACCTTATGTGTTATTTCGACGGATGTATCGTTATAGGGGAGTTGCCATGCAGACAGTCGCCCACAGCAGGGGGAACAATGTTCTGCAGAACATACATACTCCCTCACTCGCCATCGTATACTAGTTACTTAACG